CCGCCGCGGGGAGGGCGGCCCCGGCCCCGCTCTCCTCCCCCGCCGGGAGAAAGGTCAGCGCTGCCCGAACAAGGCCATGGGCTCCCAGGAGCTGCTCCCAAAAATAACCGCCCGCAGCCCGGCCCCCGCCTCGCCGCCCTTTTATGAAGGGGGAGGGAGACGGGGCGGTCCGGACCCCCCCCTCACGCCGCGGGCGGGCGGCCAGGCGGGAAGCGGCTGCGGGAGGGAAGGAGGAGCGGGATGGAGCCTGCCCGGGGGGCTCGGGGCCGCGGCGGCTCCGTCCCCCTGGGAAAGGGGGGAAACGGCCCCTCCAGGGCAGGCTCGAGGGAGCTCCGCGCTGCGGGGCCAGCGCTCAGCTCTGCTGCGCAAAGCGCGGGGAGAAGCACTGGGATGAGCCAGGGAGCAGCAGCCGCCCTCTTCATTGCCTGGGTCAGGTGGATCCTCCTTCCCCCGTGCTGCTCTGAATTTTGAGTGTTTTGAGAGAAAATCCATGAAGAGGGATGTGCTATCTGCACTGCAGGAGACATCCCCACAGCTCAGCACGCAGAAGGTGCCAGGTGGGTCCCTCCCTGGGGACCAGAGCTCCTAACATCACATAGGGCAGGCAGGGAGAGGACACGGGCTGAAGCGCTGGTTCCGACGGGCTCTGCTCTCTGCTGGGACACAGCAGCCAGGGCAGCTCCCACGCTCTCCATGGCCCAGCTCTGCCCCATGTCCCAGAGCTGCCACAGACTTCAGCACACTGCTTACCGACCTAGTACAGTTGTACAACTCAGACAAGCTCCCAGTGTTTCCCAGTGCTTTCCAAAACAACCCAACACAGCACTAGGTACAGCTGCAAGAACAGCTCCACATGCATACATGGCGTATAAACTGCAGGTCTTCCTGAGCAGCCAGGGGAAAAAGGGCTAATTTGTGCTCTTAAGCACTGCAATGTCAAGCCTCATGTGAAAGTTAACTGTCCATGACAAAACTACCAGGAAAAAGCCTTATTCTCACGCAGCCACCTGAAAAATGGGATGGTCTCTTCAGCAAGGGGCTTGGATAAGACTCAGGAGTGCCACCTGGCAGGACTGGCCCTCTGAAGCACCTAAGTGAATCCMATCTCCAAAGCGGCCAAAGGCGGAACTTAGAACAAGCTGCAAACACTTGTTTCCTCATTTCTAAGCCACCACAAACTGGAGTTTCTCYGTATGAGCAAGTACAGGGGGGAAAAAAAAGAAACCACATTTTCTTAAAACAAAACCACAGGATTTTTCTTGTGGCTTCTAGATAGACTATTTTAAAGCTACTTGTAGTAATAGGACAGAAAGCGTTAAGGCGGCAACTGCAGCCATCCAGAGGCTCCCACTTCATGGCGTTCCAGGATTTACCAGCCCAAATATGTCGTAACCACTCTAGAAAGAAGCCAAGTTCAGGATCACGCAATTATGGACTTAGCAACTCTGCCTAATTGCACAGCTGTTTATCAACCGAGGGGACACTGTTTATGGGCAAGTTCTGCACACGATGGCATTGAGAGCGACTTCACCACTGTCTAAACATGCAGCCAAACTGCAGAGAAAACACCCATTTTGTGCRTATTAAGGCACCACTTGGATCTGGTCTCATTTCTTCATTTTGGCAGAGAAAYCCACGTGTTGCTGCCAGGGCTGCAGGCAGGGAGGAGCCGCCGGCGACTCGGCCGGGCCCGACCTCTAGCGGCCCCGGCTGCGCTCGCTTCCCTCCCCGGCGGCCCCTCTCACCTTCCCTCAGCTTTTTGGGCCACATCCCCTGGATTTTGGGCTGCTTTCCAGAGCAGCAGCAGCAAGCACTTTGCGTGGTCTGCGGTAAATATTCAAAGAAACAGTAAAAAGCCAAGCCTGACAGAAAGGTATTTGCATCCCCAGTGATACCTATGAAGTTACACATAACAGTGCTTCTACATGTAGATTTTTGGGAATAGCAAAGGACACTTCTTTGAAGAATAAATGTGAYACTTTGGCAGCCCAGTTGCAATAACAAAAAAGTACAGGTGGCAAATTCTAAAAACAGGTGGCAAAGATGCAGAACCCAGAAATGAAGGGAGACATRAGACCCAACCTACAGAAGGTGAATGACACTTCATGACTTCTGGCMATAGCAGCTGAATTAGCAAGGCTGCTTCACCCAGGTAAATACCTTTCCAATCAGACATCAGGTACTGCCACAGGGATGCCAGAGGAACACACATAATTTGGTTGGCAAGCCCTTGTCTCATTCTTCACCAGAGCTTTAAAGGGGAGAAAAGCCCAGGGACAACCAGCACTGAACAAGCCTAACAGTTCATCTCCCCCTCAATAAGTTGTATTCAACAGCCTGCTCCTTTGCTAAGGATATGCACATGGGTGTATAAAAGACACTTTGTTGAGGCACATGAACTACGGCAAGCTGCCTATTTCTGTATAAAACCTTAAGGCAGCAACATTCCCCCAATACKTTGGACCTGGACAAGCCATCCAAGATGATGGTTTAGAAAGAAGGTTGAAGGGGAAGAAGGAAAAAAAAACTCCAGGATGCTCAGGATTTCCCTCCTTCACAGCTCACTACTCTCCACTATTAGCATTTACATGACAATACTTGGTGTTTCAGAACAGGGGGAAATAAACTAAAAAACAAAGTGTAAGACCCATCAAAGCTGGCAAATACTGTCTTTGACCCTCTTAAAATACACCAAACACCAGAGTCCATCACCTCATTTTTTTCCTTTACTTGAGAAACAATTCCACTGAAGAAAGCAAGGTTTGCTGGGCATCCAATGAAAGGTTAGGCTTGTTTCATATTTTCCTTTTACGCGAGAGAAGGGTAAAAAATGAAAAATACCATAGAGATCAAGATAATTCAAATAATCTTGTTTTCATCATCCATGTTAAAACAGCCAGATGTTCTTAGGTAAGAAATTAAATGTTTGCTTGTTGGGCTGCCTGATCAGAAAACGGCTTGGGAAGATAAGTGGTGGGGAAGGTGTCTGCTTACCCAAACATAAATAAAGCCTCTCTTTAAGCACAAAGAAATAATGATGCCTCTTCCCCGGAAGAGCAGACTCAGTCCCCTCACTTCCCTTTAGTGCAGTAATACTAAGGAGCTTGGGAAAGGACATCACCATACCCCTTTAAGGAAAMAAAACAGAGGCAAAGCATCCAAAAATGGAAGCATAACTGTTACAATCTGAGGTCACAGCAATTTGAAAGGAGCTGAATTACACCAGTTTCTCACATAAAGAGTTCCAATTACCAAGAAACCCAGAGACTCCTCTCAACAAATCAAACAGGCCTATTTTAAAGAGAGAGCAAAATTTACCAAGTGTTAGTTCTCTTAAGCCTAAAGAAATACTCTGACCAAACTCACTGCTTATTCCATTATCTATTAAGAGCTTAAACTGTAATGCTTAAGCTAAGGTGTGTCCTGCTTGGAATAACAAGCATTAGTTGAGATGCGAAGGAAGTGTGTTTATTGCAAGCACAGTGAGCAGGGAGTGGGTTCCACCTCACATGGACGTGACAGAGGGCAGATTTAAACCACAGGCCTTCCGTATGTGGTGCTCGTTGTCAGGTGTACATCATTTCTGCCATGTGAGACATTTTCTTTGGAATATACAGGTAATATTCCATGTAGCCCGAAAGATCTTCAATAGTCACATCATCCACAAAGGCCCTGGCCTGCTCAGAGCAAGAGCGTGGAGAACTTGAGGGAGTTCTTGATAGCAAAGGCTGAGAATGGTCCTCAGCAACTGTTCTTCTGTCAGATGCCAACGGGAGGCTGTTCTGCAAGCCAGAGAATTTGTACACTTCCATATCTTGCCACCGTTTACACTCACAGGCCTTTGCTGCGCACGAACACGGCTTATTTGTGTTTAGCTTTGACACGGACTGAAAGTCAGAAAGCTCTGCAGTCTTCAGGCTCGCTTGGGACACCAGAGAAATGGCAGCTGGAGACTCCTCTGATTTGTTCTCCGACGTCAACTCTGTAACAGAAGCTCCCAAAGACTCAACAGCAGCTCCCTTCTGCTGGAGGTCAGGAGCTACACGGCATCGTTCATGTGCACAAGTGGCCTTCGGGGCTGCAATCCCAAACGCAGTGCTCTCGTGTGCGGCTTCGCTCTGGCCTTTGCGTAGCAGCTGGTTGCACGTGGAAGGTGGTTTCGTGCTGCAATGGATAAATTTTGGAGGATGAAGAATTGGAGACTTGGAACGCCTGCGCCGCTGGGTTCTCACAGCTCCTCTCGAAGGCTTTTTCACAGATCTGCCACGGAGAGATACAGGGGTCTGGATTATAGAGACAGCAGAGACCTACCACTGCATGTGAAATAACACTGGGCAGCATCTCAGGTGCATTTATATTGCAAGCTCTAAGTATTTGCATAAGAGCCCTATCTTGGGCTTTGATGTTGATCAAGTCAAGTATCTGTATAAGGCAGAAAAGTTTCACCTGAGAAATGAAGCCTGAAGCTTGTGCTTTTAAAGACAGAAAAAGCATATTAAAATATCCTTTAAAAGAACAGCATGACACCAGTGAACCAATGCAAAAGGCAGTTTTGTTTCAAATTAGTGTCTATACAGAATTTGCATTCAGATCACCAAGAAAGCAATTCCATATTTTAATCTACTTCATAAAGCAGCCTCTGCAACATCAAATAATTATGGAAACAGTCACATTCATGATTGTTCTGTTGGAAAAAGGACAGTTCCAATTTGTATTGCAGGAATAAGGATCGTGCTTCTATTCCTAAATCTGAAAAGCATTTCATTTCACTTCAGAAAATGGTGCATAAGAACAGTCATATGTGAACAGAAATTTTCCTTTTAAAAGGAAAGCTTGAGTCCCTCATCTAAGGGCCTAGCTACTCAGATACTTGGCTATTTAAAACTCAACTTCAATGCAATCACATTAGAAGTGGTTTGATAATCCCAAGCTTCTCTTACCCATGCCAGGTTTCCTTAGAAGCACACACATTCTTAGGTTTGGTTTCCTCTGCAGCTGTTCTAAYCAACCCTCTTGTGCTTGTCCTTTCACCCACAGAAAGAGAAGCCACAGACCTGCAAAATCGGGATGGGGAAGAACAAGAAGTTAACGGTACATTGTTTGGGGAAAGAAGGTTSACGAACTTTGTTATACTCATAAAACTGGTCAGATTATTCCAAGTTGCTTATAATACTGTCTTAAAAACCTGCCCACCAAAGATCACACATTGAAAGCTGCTGTCACAAACTTTTGCCAAATAAAATCCCATTCAGCAGACAGATTTCAAATCCAAATATCACACATCAATAATGAAACACAAGAGCTAACACTGATTTGCCTGGGGGAGGAGCAAAGAGGAGGGAGAAAAAAAAAAAAAAAAAAGAAAAATTATTGAAGAAACACTCCTCTTTTTCCAGAGACAAAAAAGCTATTCTTTCCTAAAAATAAATGTTCTTCGGATATAAATAGACTTTGTTTATCAGAAGAACACTTAGGCCTCTGTCTAGGGAGAATATAAGCTCAAGCTCTTTGGACTACTGCAAGTTAAACCACTTCAGCCAGAAATCTTAACAGATTTACTAATTTCTCTGATGATACAAATCCATCCCAAATTCCCATTTTTCTGTAAGCTGTGATAACCTCAGGACACTTATTTCAAAATGAGACATGACACTTTGGACAAATTATTTTCCAAATCTCTTGTTCAACTGGTTAATAATATGATTATTTTCTGAAAAATGAATCACATCTGTGCACACTGTCTTAGACCAAAGTCTCAACATTTAATAGAGACCAAACTATTACTGAAGGATCTCCTATTTTCTGTTCAAAGGCTGTAAGCACAAAACAATAAAACTGAAAGCCTGCAATAAAATCTCTACCAGAATTAAAATATGCCTGACAAGCTGAGGGGAAGGGAAAGGGAGGCAGACTGGAGATACTGGAGAAGAGGCACCGCTATTTGCCATTTCAGTTCTAACATAACTCGTATTTACACGGTGCTTTTCAGTCACCAACATAACGGCGCCAGTGCCACTTGCTTACTGAAATGCAGCACTCTGTAATACACTGCTTACCAGCAGGAAGAACATGATAAATGAGCTTTTTTTTTAAGACAAAAAAAAAGTTATCATTAACAGAAGACACTTGTTGCTTGTGTTCTACTGCCTGGGATAGCAAAGTTAGGTGCCACRTGTCACATATCCCAGGTACAAGACAATAACATTCTTTCCTATTTGGCATTTTTAGTTATGAACAGGAAATATGTTAATGACATCAATGAAAATAAGTTTGCAKGAGAAACAAGCATTGCATCTAAAATCCTTCTTACTAATATGGAAAAAAACATTTCTCTGCAGGCAGAATGGACCTGATATCCGTGACAAGCCTTTAGAGTCATCATAACACACTGGCTACAAGAGCAGTGCTATGTACGTGTCTCTGACAACAGATTCATGCCAAAACTCATTTCGCAATGAGAGCCAGCAGTTAGCAGCATATAAATTTACACAAAGCCTGGCAGGAGCTAGCTGCCAAGCAAGCTACAATTCCTTTAAAAACACAACTTACAGCTAGGGAATTTATTTCATATTTGCTTAACTATAATGAAGCTTTTTAATGCCTAAGCTTTTGAAATTATCTCACTGCTTCAGATTTAACTGTGCTGCTTTCCAGGCCCTTCGCAAGATGTTAGCACTGTACCTGCCCAGAGTCTTACTTACCCAGCTGTGTCAACTCTTAGTTTTTTGAAAGCTGTCTGCAAGCTTTCCTCTTCTCCATCCTTAGCTTCCGTTTTCATTATTGGGATGGTCGGATGGTGACAGTTACCATATATTTCTAAAACCAGAAAACAGACATATGAAAATAAGAACCAATGCCTTGCTAAAAACATGAGTTGCCCAGCAGCATCATAATACACTAAAAATAAACTTGAAATAGCACACTGAGCACATAAAGATGAGGTCATTGGAGAAGAATATTTCTGAAAGTTGTTTGGAACAAACTTTAAGATACCCAGAAATGGAACAGCCTCCCGCATAACTGCATAAATTAATACATAATGTACTGCAAAATTTGGTGTCAATGGTGCCTTGCTTATCCAAATAAAGTCTAGATAGATTCTTCTATTTTTCTCTTAAAAGTATTATCAAAATTAACTCGAGGGAAAGATTTGGAAGGCAAAGAAATACAAAATCATTAGGAACAGCCCACTTCCTACAGGCTGCTCTTGCCCATCTTGGGACACGGTGTTATTATTTTAATACAATTAAAATAATTAATAAAAATTTTTGTTACTACTAAATTTATTTACTACTAGATTTAATTACTACTTATTGACAAGACTAYACTTCTCATCTATGAAGTCTCTATTAACACCCACGACAGTCTTGACACAGGTGTATTTTCTCACTCAAGTCTCCACAAAACTGCTCTTTAACTGGATACAAATCCAATAAAACCTCCTAAAGCTCTAAAATACCAAGTCRCCATGAAGATAACTATCTAAAACGAGTAATTGCCAGCAGCTGCCGAAATGAAAACACAGTCATACAGAGCACTAGCACTGCTTAATTGTACACCAATAATACTTATTTTAATAACGCTTTTATCAATTAAGTTCTAGCTCTTGTAATCTGGATGAGAAGAAAGTCCAGGTGAACAGAGAGCGCAATCAGAACATGAACAGATCARTTACTTGTGTGGACACAGAGTGGTGGCTTTGGTCACCTCAACCTCAGCCAAGGCAGAGGCTTGGCTCCCTAAGCTGTTGTTCGGGCTGCTGCTCTACCCCGATTTCATTCGGGGGTGATTCTCTATTACAGGCAGCTATTATGACACACAGGATGAGGTATCGTCACAGCTCCGAGCAGTGAGTCACACACTGAAGCAATGTGGAACACGGAGGCCAATACAGAGGCTGACAACGTGACACTCATCCAGACAGGTTATTTTAGACACCCTCGTGGCCAGATACTATCGCTCTGGTGAAAAACGGGGTCCCTTCCTCACTACACTTCTTCCTTGACCCAAATGAGAGCTCTATGGAATTACAAACCGGGTCAAGAATCATTTTTTAAAACCCCAGAACCATTTACCAGACACAAACGCAAGCAGTTTTCACACAAACGGTACCAGTAATAGCATTAATCACTGCACATCACTCAAAATCCAGTATGAGTTTTAAACAAACTATATTATCATCCTGCTGCCCTTCATCCCTGAAGCAACAGGCCCCGAGAAGGACACAGAGCGTCCTCAGAGAAAGCCCTGCGCACTCTGACCCCTAAACAGGGGCGTCTGCAYTGCAGACACCAGCCAGCTCTCACCGACTGCAGAGCACAGTCAACTACCGCGCAAAACAACCACAGCCGGGGAAACTCATAGCCGTTCACTCGTTATTTCTCCATATTCCAGAGAAGCAGACATCCRTCTACCTGCAATTGCACTTTCAAGCCTTTCCCAATAAAAAAGGGCTCACAAGAAGATTATAGAAGGCTCCAAGGACTTCACAGTGGGGGGATTGAGGGGAGGGCGGGAGGAGCCGCGCGGGGGCCGAGCTCGCCCCGCTTCACGGGGCCCGCGGCGGGAGCAGGGGCCCCGGCAGCCCCGGC